AAGCGAATTCATATCTCTAAAACTAAATATTTTTCAATATTATTTAAGAATATTATAATAATAATAATAATAATAATAATAATAATAATAATAATAATAATAATAATAAAACATTATCCAAGTTAAATTAAAATTTAAAGTTGATTGATTTCATTATAATCAAAAGATTTTGAATCAAAATCCAAATCTGAATCAAAACTATATAAAAATCTTTTTATTTTTATTTTGAATTTATAATAATAAAAATCTACTAGTACAAAATCAACTTGGAAAACTCTATTATTTTAATTCATAATTATTCAATTGAATTTAATTAGAGTAAATTTTTATATATATAAATATAAATATGAATTAAGAAATAACTAATAAATAACTTGAAGGAATTTCAAATTGTATAAAACTACTATATAAAAATTTAAACTACTAGTTATACTAGTAGTTATTTTAATTTTTGTTTATATGTCTTCTAAAACCTTGTTGAGTATATGATATTGAGTAGTATGGTATGTTATGGTATGGTATATAATAGTATAGTAATAATACTTCAGTAGATAATCTCGAACTTAACGGTGTGATGCGATGCGATGCGGTGTCTCTCTCCAGCCTATTAAAATTAAATCAATTTGCACCTGCCTGCATTGCATATCTGTGTGCTTGCCTGTTTTGTCCGTGGCTCAGATATATTTTACTTTATGAGTATTCTACTCTACTTTGCTATACTATACTATACTTCCTTATTATCATACAAAATTTCCATTTCCCCTCACCCCATTCCCTCACCACCCCATCCCACCTCACCCCTACAAACTCAAACGATCCAAACTCCTCTCTCCCCCACTCCCCCTCCTCCCCCTTCCCCCTCCTCCTCCTCCCCCCATCCCCCCATTCCTCCCCACCACCCCCAACCGAAAATATCTCTCCTCTCCCATCTGCGTCCTACCCCCTATATACCATTTCTCCATACCCATTACATCTCTGAACCCCCCTTCTGCTTCCGAACTACTATCGCTTCCTCTTCTTTCTTTTGTTTGGAGTTTGCTTTTGTATTTATTTGTATTTTGGCTTGTGTTTATGTTGGTGTTTGGATTTTGGTTTGAGTTTGGGTTTGGTGAAAAGGATGTGGATGTAGAGATGGGACTTGATGTTGGTATTGGGATGGGGATTGATTCGTAACTTCCTATGGGCGTATTGTTCGTATTTGTATTTGTATTTGCGGCGCGATTGCGATCGATGCCGAGGAGAGTGTTGGTGGTGGATGATGTGGATGTGGATTTGGAGCTAGGATTTGTACTGGTACTTATTTGACGGGGTTGCGACGGGCTGGATTGCGATGGAGAATGCGAATGTGAATGCGAATGTGCGTGTACGGGTTTTGGATGAGAGGAGGATGAGTTGGGGTGGCTTATGATGGGGGTGGAGGATAGTTGGGAGGAGCGGAAGGCGGCGAGGAAGGTGGAGAAGAAGGGGCGGGATTGTTGGGTTGGAGGAGGCATTTTTTTGGGATTCTGATGGATGAGGTGTTGAGGGTGTGGAGGGAATGTTGATGGGTTGGAGAAATTGAGGGGATAGGAGAGGTTTGTAGAGGTTTTCGTCTGAGATAGGAGGATACTATTGTTCTGGATTGTTCGGAGAGAAATTAAGGCCGACCGACCAGTGATGTTTATAAATTGAAAGGATTTGATGAGGTTTCGTCTGGAGATAGGATAATGGTATGTATATTCTGGTTTGTTCGATGTGAGGTCAAGGCCGGTGATGTTTATGGACTGGAGAGATTGGAGGGTTTTGAAAAGGCTTCGTCCGAGGTGAAGTGTATTGAATTCTGGTTTGTTCCCAGTCAGAAGCCAAAACCGGTGATGTTCACGAAATATAAGATAGCAAGTAGGTAGTGGATCCTAGATTTCATGCGGGGAGGTGATGTCGTGGGACAGACGATGTATTTAATATACACCAGTGTATAGAGGCGGCTATTGTGGATAATGATATTGATATTGACCCGCTCAAGCGGATACCGGTATATCTCAAGGTAGATGATTTATTTCCTATTTAGGTTTAGAACGATGTACTCGAGTATGTGATGAGATGGTTGAAGTGTGAAGTGGCGGATAGATACAGTAGATGTGTTGGTAAATTTGTTGTTCATATAAATATCTGGAAATTCAATTGTCTTTGATCAGTTAAGGTCCTTGAGGTAATTGATAATCGATGAGGTCGTCTATTTTTTAAATTTTTAGGTGTTGTGATTGAATTTCGGGTGTACTCGGCTCTTTCACTTCTTTCTTGGTATGGGTATAGGAATTATGTTTTGAAATTAATAATTGTAAATAGATGTTAGATGTAGGTACCTAACCTGAAGGAAAGATGGGATAGGTAATTGTGTTGTACTCGAGTGTTGTGTTATTTATTATATTGATATTATATATTCATATCATGCAGTCCATTGTTAATAGAGAGAAAATGATCGATATCGATATCGGGTATAAGCGGAATGCGTTTGGGTAATCGGGATGCATACAGATTATGCGGAATGATTGTCTGTGATGAAGTTAAATATAATAAAGCGGGGACGAATCAGATTGTATTGATTAAAAAGATTAGTTTTATAAATATTGGGATAGTTATTTATCACTATCACTGGTATCAAAGTATCCAATGTAGCAATGTCAACGTTTATTCGATGAGGATAATGTTTTGTGTATAAATGTACCTACTCGAGTTGTAGGGAGGATGTAAAGCCATATCAACCAACATCAACTAATGAAGTTACCGGAATATGAATACACACAGTCGATGCAATATGTGATGGTGATGAAGAAAGAGTAGATAAATACTCATTGGACGAAAGGGTTAACGAAAGGGTTATGAGATTTTGTGGCTATCAAAAGTATCAAGGTTCACTGGTAGTCATACTCGAACAATATTGTAGAAATATCAATATCACAAGAAAATACAAGTCAATGTAATCCAAGATCCAGGCTTCATCCCAAAAACTATGTACCTCCTTTTCTGCAGTCCTCCTAAGTTTTAGACCCCGATTTATATAACTCGAGTACAAAACAAAACACCAATGTATCAAAAAAGAAGAGGGATAATGAGGATTATAAAAAATATCCCATACAAAAGTTCCAGCTTTGGCAAAGATGCTAGGTAATTCCGAGAACAAAGTCTAATACAATTATCTACCCCAGTATTGAGATTGGGAAAGGAACGGATATGAAGTAGGAATTCGATTATTGAATTGGGAGAAAGAGAGAGCAGCAAACGATCAAGATTATGATTTTGTACAAAGGTAAGAAAGAGTAATAATCCCACTTGGGAATACATCTTGAAAAGGAGAATGTGATGTGGTGATATTTCTTGTACTGGTATACAACTTTGACCTCGGACTCAAAATACACCATCAAAAAAGCAACCAACCATATCCATGCCTCAGGCTACCATAATTCATCCGGCTAACCCCGACTCTAACATTCTCAATTAAATATACCTAGGTATTCTCAACCTCCAAACCACCATTAATCCACCATCAAACACACACCTCTCTTCAAAATGGGCAGCAACGGTGATGTAAGTATCTTTCCCACCTCGCGACCACTTCGCACATTTCACTGACCATCTTTGCGCTCTCAGTTCCATGTTTCCACAGGTGTCACACCTATAAAAGGACCTGTTTCCTACTCCACATACAAATCTCCCTATGGACCCAAGTACGATGCGCAATCTGCTGTTTGAGGGATAGGAAGACTGATGGGTTTATAGATATAAGATCCAGCCGAATATCGGTGGGATGACGCCCAAGGCTGCTTCTAAAGTGTATGTGGATTTTTCATGATGGTTGCGATATTCCTATTCGAAGTGTATATACACCAGGAGCACGATACTACATATTCGCATAGGGGATTTAATGTTACTTTTTTGGTGGATAAGACTGAGTTAGAAACCAAGCTAACATTGGCATATAGTGGCCTTACTCTAGCAGGATTTGGTGCTACAGCTGGATTCTTCGCCCTTTTCTTCTTCTCCGATATCCCTAAAGTACGAAACGATATCATGGTTGTAAGTTGTCACGCTGGATATATGGAAGTATGGTGGCTCATGATTTGAATAGAAAATCCCATTTATTGGTGATCGCTGGAAGAGGGAAGTTCCTGCATCGGACAACGTACGTTCATTTTTTCTTTTCTTTACTTTTTACAATATTCAGATGAGCAAGAGGATTTTGCGCCAGTGTTGGAGGATCTTGAAGTTACAAATATGTTAAAATCCGACTTATCTCGTCCATAACACAAAGCAACCAATGCCACTAGTGTACATTGGTTGTCTTCCAGACCCCCTTTCCTGAACCGAGTTTTCGACTCCAACATTCAACTACAATATGAAGTTTCACTTTACTTGCGCATTATTTTTCAAGTAATCAACTAACACAACTTTTCTATAGCCTTTTTAGATTTTGTGCGACGGGTCTACGGTTTGGGAGAATAGAGTGAAGACAAGAAGTACATGGGGGAAGATATACCGAAATTGTACAAAAGACTTTACATGAATTAGACTTCACTTTCACACTTTTTCTCTATTGCTTGTGTGATTCGAACCCTTTTGTTCCACATCTCTATGTATTAAGCTTGTGTTATTACGCATAATATATCAAATCCATGCCTTGACAGCTTGACTTATAAGCATTAGCTATTCTCAAAGTTCTCGAACCTTCTTAATAATTAAGAATTGGAATTACCAATCCAATCGAATTGTAAGGCTGACATTTAGGTGCCCTTCTCTTCACTGATTACGTTGTATATAACCTTTTCTTAAGATAACAAACACATTTAAATTGTGTTTCAAGAAACAAGAAAAGAACACAGTACAACACAATCAATCCTTTAATACATTTATTTACTCGAGTACTTGGTATCATATTGCATCAACTCTTTTTTCCCCCAAGAACAGAATCAATACCGAACAGCCGAAGAAGATCCCGAATAAGAGTTACCGATATCTCTCAGCGCACACGTAGTCTCTCGGAACTTCGGAAGACGAAGGATCAAGGACGAAGGATAAGGCTGATATTATATCATACTATATCAAACGAATGAACGAACGAACGAACGAACGAACGAACGAATATAACAAGAACATCCTGGACAAAGAATCTATCTACTATTTATTGCAGACCGCTGAGTATTACTCGATCATCTATCTATCTATCTATCTATTACACGACAAGTTCGAATATATTCTAGTAAATAAACCACACGGAACGAAACACAACGGGGATTATATTACCCTACCTACCTAGGTAGATTAGATAAGATAAGATTAGATTGTGGTATACCGGTGCTAGTATAGGGCAATACCGGTAGTTGTTTGGTTAGTTCTATTCACTTCGTCGCAGATCCACCGATCCGCAGATTGTCAGATCGGATTCAAGCGCGCAGATTTTCAAAACTCTCATAACCTTAACCTTACCTAACTCACACGAGCAGAGGAGCAAACGAGCAAACGAATACTGAATACCTTACATCTCGACTACCTCAGATTCCCATCTCGCATCTTCCATTTCACATTCACATGTCGCATCTCACACCTAGCATCTCACAGTAATTTCATTCCATTCCATTCCAACAATGGCCGGATCTGATTTACCTTCGGACCCTCCCGGCATCCAAAAGGCATTTGCGCTCGATTTAAAGAAGAGAGGAAATGAACATTTTCAATCGGGAAATTTTGAGGCTGCGGAGGTGTTGTATCGGAAAGCGTGGGTTTACATTTTTGTTTTGTTTTGTTCCGTTTGAGATTGAGGATATACATGGCCAAATATTTATTATTACAAAGATATAAACTAACAAGCCCCTAAACATAGTATCACCTTCGACCCTCGCAACCCTCTCCTCTACACCAACCACGCCAAAGCGCTCCTAAAACTAACCCGATATCCCGAAGCCATCACCGCCTCGCGCGAGGCGCTACAAGTTATGGCGTTAGCGAAAGATGGGGAAGTGGTGGTTAGTGTGGCTATGAAAGCGCATTATCATGTTGCGCAGGGGATGAGGGGGTTAGGAGAGTATGAGGGGGCGATGAGGGAAGTGCAGGTTGCGAGGGGGTTTTGTGAGAAGGGGATGGAGACGGGGGAGGGTGATACGGGGAAAAGTTTAAAGAGCATTTTGGAGTTGGGGTTGAGGTGTAGGAGGGAGGGGTGGGAGATTAGGGAGGAGAAGAGGAGGAGAGAGAGGAGGGGGTTGGAGGGGGAGGTGCTGGGGTTGATGAGGAGGGAGGGGAATGAGGGTGGGGAGAAGGGTATGGGGGGTTGGGAGAGCAAAATCGAAGAAGTGGAGAGGGTATTTCGATTAGTGGAAACACAGGGGAAAGAGGGCAGAAGAAGGGAAATGCCCGATTGGGCTATCGATGGCATTAGTTTTAATGTTATGATTGATCCTGTTATGGTATGTATATATTATATCTATTTTTTTCTTTTCATTACTTTTCTTTTATCCCTCCCTCCCTCTATTACCCCTGCCTCCTACATCCATCCTCATACCCCTCCCCCCCCATCCATCACAAACTTCACCAACCAAATCCATTAAACAAAACTAGCTAATACAAAAAAGACCAAAACAGGCCAATCATACGAGCGATCAAGTATCCTACAACATCTGGAAAGAAGTAATACAGATCCGTTAACGAGAGAGGTGTTGAGGAAAACGGATTTGAGACCGAATTTGGGGTTGAGGTGTGCTATTGAGGAGTTTTTGGAGGAGAATGGGTGGGCGGTTGAATGGTAGTTTGGGAGGGTTTGGGGGGAGGGAAAGGGAAAGGGGGGAAGAAGGGAAGAAGGGATAGGGAAAGGGGGGGAGTGGGAAGGGGGATGGGGATGGGTAGATAATGATGGGGGGAAAAAGAGAGGGGGAGAGGGATGGGGAAAGGGGAGGAGGAATGGATAATAACAAGGAGGGGGAGGGGGGGCGGGGAGATGGACTGGAGACTTTTAATATAATACACGAACGAAACTTTAAACTGTATATGGGGCTGACATTAGCATTAGCATTAGTATATCTTGAAGCGCATTATCTATCTATCTATCTACTATCTATAGAGTAGTTTATTATTCAAATAATACTTTTCTTTTCTTTTCTTTTCTTTTCTTTTTTTTCTGGGATTTTTGTTAGATTATTAGATTATTAGATTTGTCAAAAAGTAAGACTTACTTACTACTCCCTTCTATTCTATCGAGTTTTTGTACCTATTGATATACTCTATCTAATATACATGCATACTTAATCCTTACTCCTTGAAACCTAAACAAATCCCAATCTCTACTCCCTATATCTACAGTATCTATACACCAAATAACAATAATTCAAAACAAACAAAATCCCTCACCACATAAATCTCTGAACTTTCCCCGGCTCCTGTATCCATCCAAATCCTCGGTTCAAAAATATATACCCAGTCACCGCGTTAATTAGTAGATACCAGAGGGTTTCGAGGTATAGTGTCAGTTTTGGATCTCCTAATTTGGCGAGGAGGTTGGTTGTGTGTTGTGGTGGGGGTGAGGATGAGGAGGGTGGAGATGAGGATGAGGATGAGGATGAGTATTGATCAATGCCTGTGGGTATCAAAGTTGGGAAATGTAAACGTAGAAAGACGAATGGCAAGATGAAATAGCGAGGTTCGACGAGCGGGGCGGTGATTAGGGAGAGGGATGTTGTGAAGAGGAGGAGGAAGAAGGTGGAGAGGGGGGTGGTGGATAGTTTGACAGAGGTGATTTTTGTTGGGTTGATGCTGGTAGGTGGTGCGGATGGAGAACTTGGAGCAGGGTGAGGTGCTGATGTGGTTGGCTTGTCGGATGCTTGGGTTTCAACCTTTTTATTTTCGTTTCGGGCGAGGGTTTCGAAGATGAGAAAGAAACATCCTATGTATATTGGAGCGAGGAGATAACGAATAAGAGGATGTCGTACTATGGTGTAGCGGAATACGTAGAATATGTAATGACGATTATCGGCTAGGGTGAATGGGTGAATTATGGTGTTATATTTTATGATGATGAGAGATCCGAGGAACGAGGTAAGGATGAGGCAGAAGGTTATGAGGATGCGGAGTTGAGTGTTGAGAGAGGATGTGAACAATTGGGATGGGTGCAGGGCGTTGTTAATGGTGGAGGAGATGAACGAGAAGAGGGTGGGAAGAAGGAGTGGGAATGAGAAGAAGGCGATGAAGGGCCAGAGGTAAAGGAGTTGCGGAAGGTGAATGGTCGCAACGTGGTTTGATTTATCGCCGAGGACGACGCCGCCATTGATGTAGACGAATGCGGCAAATGTGACGAGTAGTGAAATGTGGGGGATCAACCGGATGAGCATAGTTGGGAGGCGCGTTATAGCGGTATAGAAGATGCTGAACGGTGTAAAGAGCAAATCTGGAGATTGTCAGCTCTTATGAATAGGATCATCAAAGAAACGGGGAAATCATGATGAAAGGGGTGGTAATTACCTTCCAGTGAAGCAGCGTGTAAAGGTGGATCGTGTGGATGTTCTGTTTTTGCGAGTTCATAGAACTGTTTTAGAAACCCCTCCTGTGACGTTGTTTGGAGATGTCTGAAAGATGGAGCAGTAAGATGATTTGTCCCCTTCAGTGTCCTCACAACCTCCATTCCTCCCAAGAATATTGCAGCCCAGAAGATATTCGTTTGTCTCATACACAGAGCCATTACACCACAAAGATAAAACCATGCACTATTTTTCCACGTCTTCTCGCTCTTCTTGAGTTCTCCCTGCTCGAGAAATTGTTTATAAAGGTACAAAACGGCACAAGTAGATAACACATCTGTATAATACAAACCAGAGAAGAAGAATAGCGGCGGGAAAAGTGCAATGTTGGCAGCTGTATGTAATGAATCTGCAGATCTTAGCCTAGGAATTAGATCTGAACGATTTTCAATGCCGGCTCGAACAATAAGGTTTCGACACTTCCAGGCCAGCATCATAATAGATGTAAGAGCAATAACATTGGTGATCCGAAGAAAATGTACGTTGCATGTTGTGAAGCCCGAGACTATGCTCAAAAAGTGACTCCACCAATATCTGAAACGATTAGCTATTAGCGATGCTCATTGTTATAATCACCAAAAGGAAGGGTCATACAATCCGGGTGGTGTCGTAAGTTTTGGATCCCAAGTACCATAATCCCAATTACAGTATGCTTGAGCTTGTGGTATATGAAATACTTCGTCCTAGATGATATCAGTGAATGTATCAAATTGGGTTTCTGGTGAGGAAGGAAAATACCAAATAAGGCTCGGGGACATTCTTAGTCACTTGATACTCCCAGAAACCGGCAAGGGAAGCCACAGTTAAGGGAACGGCAATGGTAGTCTTACGACTTAATCCTCCGGTTAAACCGAAGTCTGATCTGCTCACATCATTGAGAATCCCCACCAGGAGAGTGGAAATGGCACCGGCCATAAGGACACCTTTTCCGTTTGCGAGAGAGGTAGCTTTGGATTTATATTGAGGTTATGAAAGTGGTAGAGTCTTTGGTTACATTGTTTAAGAGGGAGTTCCTGTATCAATGTTAGAATATGAGGAACGTCAACTTGATGTGGAACTTACGGAGATTTTGGTTAATGTTTGGAAAATGAGGATGATTTTGAAGAGCACTCAAAGCACAACGTGATCTTTAAGCTGTGGCTGTGTTGATGTGGCTGACCAGCCTCAACTACATACATTAATATTAGATGAATTAGAGAGGTATATAATCTATATATATCGAACGTAGATCCAATTCAAACCCGAATATGATTTCTATCTAATCTGATATAAAAGAATCTCAACTGAATCAATTATTAAATTCATGAATATATCTAACG